CTCTCTCTCTCTCTCTCCTCTCACTCTCTCTTAAAAAAAAAAAAAAAAAAAACAAGACAACAACAACATCATACCCAGACCATCTCACAGGAACAATTTAAGCTTCATTAACAAAGTGGAAGAAGAAATAAAACCCAGAGCAAGAAGATATGGAAATAAGAAAGATTAGAGCAGAGAGAAATGAAATGAGGAGGAGAAAAACAACACAGAAAAGTCAACAAAACTAAAAGTTGTTTCTTAGAAAGAGTCAAGAAAATTCACCAACCTTTTGTTAGACTGACAAGAAAAAGAAGTTTCAAATTAAAATCAGAAATGAAAGAGAGGACAACGGTACTGACTCTACAGAAATAAGATCGATTATAAGGAAATGGTGTGAGCAATGGACGCAGGAAAGTAGATGATTACCTGAAACTGACAGATTTCTGGAAACACATAAACTGCTAAAACCGATTAAAGAAGAAATAAAACAAAAACAAAACAAAAACACCTGACAAGGGCCAAATGTGGTGGTGCACTTCTGTATTCCCAAAAATTCAGGTGGCTGAGGCAGAAGGACTGCAAGTTCCAGGCCAACCTCAGCAACTTAGCAAGACCCTGACTCAGATGTATAAAAAGGGCTGGGGATGGAGCTTAGTGGCAGAGCACCCCTGGGTTCAATCATCTGTACTGAAAAAGAAGAGCCAGGCACTGTGGTGCACACCTGTAATCCCAATGGCTTGGGAGGCTGAGGCAGGAGGATCATGAGTTTGAAGCCAGCCTCAGTAACTTAGAGAGGCTCTAAGTAACTCAGAGGGAATTTGTCTCTAAATAAAATATAAAAAAGGGTTGGGGGTGCTGTGGCTGTGGCTGTGACTCAGCGGTAGAGTGCTACTTAGCACCTGCGAGGCGCTGGGTTAGATCCTTAGCACCACATAAATGGGCTGGGGTTGTGGCACAGTGGTACAGTGCTTGCCTAGCATGCATGAGGCACTAGGTTCGATCCTCAGCACCACATACAAATAAATAAAGATATTGTGCCCACCTAAAACTAAAAAATCAATACTAAACATTTTTTAAAAAAATAAATAAAAGAAAGGCATTGTGTCCAACTACAACTAAAAAAATTTAAAAACAAAGGGTTGGGGATGTGGCTCAGTGATTAAATACACCTGGGTTCAATCCCCATTGCCTAAATAAATAAATAAATACTTAATAGTCAAAAATCAAAAAATTTTAAAATTCCAACAAAGGGAAGCCCAGGGCCTAATGGTTTCATCCACTTATTCTACCACCATTTAAAGAATTACCACCAATTCACACACTCTCCAAACAAGCAAATGAATAGTGAAGAGAAAAGACCACTTACTAACTCTTCCTATGAGTATATTATCATCCAAAGCCAGTCAAATGCATCACAAGGAAAGAAAACTCCAGACTAGTAGTCTTGATAAACACAGCTGAAAAAACTCCCAGAAAAAATACTGTAAAATAAAATTCAATATCACATAATAATATTACACTATGACCAATTGGGATTTATCCCAGGAATGTCAAGTTGATTCAAAATATAAACATTAAGCAATATAACAAATCATGTTAATAAAATAAAGGAGGAAAATGATTGTCCCAATAGCCCTAGAAAAAGTCTTAATATCCTTCTGTGATAAAAACAGTAAATCAGGAATAAATAAAAAGGAACTTCTCATCCTGATAAGAGGCATGTATGAAAATCCCACAGCTGGGCTGGGGTGTGGCTGAATGGCAGAGTATCCTCCTAGCATGTGTGAAGCCCTGGGTTCCATCCCCAATAAAAAAACAAGCAAAAACAACAGAAAAACAAGCAAACAAACCAACCAACCCATGGCTAATGTCATACTTACTGGTTGAAGACTGAAAACCTTTTTCCTAAGATCAAGAACAAATTGAGGGACCAGGGTTGTGGCTCAGTGGTAGAGCACTTGCCTAGCATGCGTGAGGCACTGGGTTCCATCCCTGGCACCACACAGAAATAAACAAAATAAAGGTATTGTGCCCATCAACAACTAAAAAAGTATTTTAAAAAAAGAACAAATTATAATCATAATGTGAGTGGGCCTCATTCAATCAATTAAAGCTTTAATATGAAGACACTGACCTCTCCAAACATTCTTGCCATTTCTATTCAACAATGT